CTCAATGGTTCGGAATCGTGAGAGTTGCAGTTTGGCGAAGCACCAGGACTTTTTGACAGAGAAGCCTAAAGACCTTCTAAAACTGCAGCTCCCCATGATTCCATAGCATTGACTCATGGCAATAAGATTGGTGTCAAACTGCATTCATTCTACAATGTAAATACACCCTTTGTTATATTCATCAAACAGACCTGTGGTAGTGGTGGTGGTGGTGGCATGAAGGCAAAGCTAACCCTGAAGGATCTTAAAACTTATGTATGTTTATTTCTCAAAAGCAACTGGAAACTGCTTACCATTCCAATCCATAGTATTTTCCGACCCAGCTGAAAGTGTATCTTCTATTTTTTGTTCTATTAACCACATCTTAATTTTGAAATACAATAAAAGGTATATTACTATAAAAGCAATAAACAATAAGCAAATTCCACCCAAATAAATTAGCAGCAATAAGTAAACCATTCTCTTAGGGTGTAAATTCACTAAAGCCACCAGATCTTGTTTAATCTTGTAAGCTAAGTAGGGTCAATCCTAGTGAGTACTTGGATGGGAGACTGCCAATGAATACTAGAGGCTGTACATTCTATTTCAGAGGAAGAAACTGGCAAAATCACCTCTGAATGTTTCTTGCTGAAGAAATTTTTATGAAATTGATGGAGTTGCCATAAGTTCACAAGTGACTTGAAAACATATACAAAAGTAGGGCACTCAGAAGAAATGTACAACATAACTGAAAGGATACAACAGAATTAATTTCAGTGGAGTCAATGTTTACTGTTTAGGAAAATAATCTTCACCTGCCACTAAAAAGTCCAAGCAAGCCTCTCAGTAACTGGGTTCAATGACAAGATAATCTCTTTCCTCCAAGGCCACCCATTACAACTGTTACTCAACCAACTGTGGAAAGTGGAAACTAGCATGGCCCTGAAATCTCAATTCAGATCAGAAAAGGGGGACAAAGGCATTTCCAATGCATGTATTTTCCCCTCTTTCATATTAAATACAATTCCCTTAATCTGCAGCAATTACTAGGCTCCAAACATAGCACCACTGCACATGACTGGGTATCAATCTTTAGAAGCAGAAAATGTTTGATTTTCAGTTGGCATGCATACATTTCCACCTAGAAGTACCATGCTTCCTGCACTTTTCAACCAATTTTCCCTCTCAGATGAAAGTGAGGATATATATGCATCGTGATGGCAAGTTATTGAGGAAGCAAGTATCTGTAGAAGTTTGCTTTTGCCTAAATTTATGGGGAAGGACAAGGTTTCTCCCCTTTCTCTCCTCTCCCTTTTCTGAGTTAATTGAATGTAAAATGCATTGCAGTTTTAATTTGGTTTGCAGCAGTTGAAGTAGTCTTGAGCAGAAAAGGAGATGACAGAAGATTAATTGGGCCTGCCCCAATGGGACATTTGTGGGTGTGAATGGTCATTTCCAAGATGGAATCAATGGGCACAGGATGGATTAAGATGGACTGTCAATTTGCCCCTATAAATGCCGCTATCCAATTTCCTACAATCTCTGTAGCAGCAGACTTGGTGAAGCAGGTCTCCTCCGAACAACAGGACTCTTGACTTTTTGCTAAGAACCCAATATCTTTTGCTATCTAGCACTGTAACCCTTCATGTTTATGCTTTTAAAATAAAAGCCATACCTGCAGATGCATGCAGATAAGAGGCTGCCCCGCTCCTCTGATATTCTTTACCCCCAAAGACTCATTTGTGTCTGTATGTCTCCCTGACATGGTATACAATTTCAAAAAATATATATCTTCAGACAAGGTTTTCACGAGCAAGGATTTCTTTTTTTCTTTATCTCATGTACAGAGTTACATGCCACCTTATATTAAGAGATCTCAGGGTGGCTCATAAGTATTGAGGTCTCAAGCCATTTTGTGCTTTAAATGTTATCACCGGTTCCTTGATTTCACATTGGAAACTTATTGGCAGTCAGTGAAATTTCTTTAGAATTGATGTTACATGGTGTATGTATGAAGTTTTAATGAGCAGTGTAGATGCTGGATTTTGTCCTTCATGGGCAGCCACACGTCAAATGCATTGCAGTAATCTAATTTGGAGGTGACACTGTATGGACTACTGTAGTTAATTTATTTGTGGCTTGCTGTAGCTGGTGGACTAGTTATAGGTGGCCCAAAGCACTGAGATCCCATCTACACTGCCATATAATGCAGTTTCAGAATAAGTTTAAGTGCATCGAACTAAATAATATGCCAGTAGACTCATATTATCCACTTCAATATAGTTAAACTGCATTATTTGGCAGTTTAGATCCAGCCTGAGCCACCAGCTCTAACCTCCAGTGACAGAAATGGAAGGTGGTTCCACACAGGCAATAAAATCCAATCTAATGTAATCTTAAAGGCAGGGTATCTACAAAGCATACACCCCTGCCCACTGCAACACACAACCAGCCAGAAACAGTATCTTTAAAAAGTGCTCCTGAGGACAGGCCTAGCACTGAGGCATTCAGAGATGAAACAGGAAACACAGCTGGCTGAAAAGTAAACATACACCCTCCCCCTGGAGAGGAAGCCATGGGAACATTTGCTTTCCTCCCTTTGTTACTGTGTCTTGACTAGTTCTAGCGCTGATCATTATTACTACAGCATCAACACATCCCACCAGACAAGGCAAGAAAAAATGTTTTTGGATTGATCCATAACCAGTGGACCTTTGTGGCTACCATCCCAGCTTCTACCTGGTTTGTAAGGTGCCTGTGTAGGCAGGGATACATATCTTGACCCAATTTATATGGCTGAGTAAAACTTCCCTGTGCAACGGCTCCTTCAGGGAAAATGCAATCCCATCCAGACCTACCCAATTCCCAGAGCCACTAATCCACAGTCTCCATTTAATAGTGTTTCATTTTCAGATGGTCTCCATCCTGCCCATTTCACGTAACTCAGAGGACAAGAAGAAGTGGAGCTGAGTGTCTTCAACATAATGATGGCATCAGGGAGATACCTTAACAGGTCATAATCCATAATCCCCAATAGGTTGCGATCCTAACAGGTCATAATCCATAATTCCCAATAGGTTGAAATCCTAACAGGTCATAACCCATAACCCCCAATAGGCTGTGATTCTAACAGGTCATCATCCTTATCCCAATAGGCCAAGTCACATTCTCTCAGTCTCAGAGGAAAACCAAGACAGATCTCCCTCTGAATAAATCTTTTCAATAAAAACCCATAACACGGGAACATCTACACTGTAGAATTAATCCAGTTTGACAGCACAGTGCAATGAAATCCTAGGAATTGTACTTTCCGCAGCCTCTTTAGTTTTCCCTGCCCAAGAGTGCAGATGCCTTGCCAATTTAAACGAGAGCTCCCCTGCTTCCATGAGCCATGAAAGTCAATGCTGTACCAGACTGAATTCATTCTACACCAGGCCTGGGCAAACTTGAGTCCTCCCTCCAGGTGTTTTGGACTCCAAATCCCACAATTCTTAACAGCATGGGCAAACTCAGCCACCCTCCAGGTGGTTTGGACTGAGGGGGGAAAGGAAAGGACCTGGGGATGTTAGGAATGGTGGGAGTTGAAGTCCAAAACACCTGGAGGGAGGGCCCAAGTTTGCCCATGCCTTTTCTACACAGGGTCAATATAAACTGAGGAACGACTTCAAAGCGCTCAACATCAAAGTCCCATTTAACCCATTCTGAAAAAACCTGCCTGTTGTGAAGGCACTCAAAAATGAGATAGACTTAGGGCCCTTCCAAACAGCCCTAAAGCGATTGTCCTCCCAACCCTGCTATATGCCTGCGAAACGTGGACTGTCTACAGGCGCCACATGCAACTCCTGGAACGTTTCCATCAGCGCTGCCTCCGGAAAATCCTGCAAATCTCTTGGGAAGACAAGCAGACAAACGTCAATGTGCTGGAAGAAGCAAAGACCACCAGCATTGAAGCAATAGTCCTCCTCCATCAATGCCGCTGGACCGGCCACGTTGTCCGGATGCCCGACCACCGTCTCCCAAAGCAGTTGCTCTACTCTGAACTCAAGAATGGAAAATGGAATGTTGGTGGACAGGAAAAGAGATTTAAAGATGGGCTCAAAACCAACCTTAAAATCTCTGGCATAGACACTGAGAACTGGGAAGCCCTGGCCCTTGAGTGCTCCAGCTGGAGGTCAGCTGTGACCAGCAGTGCTGCAGAATTTGAAGAGGCATGAATGGAGGGTGAAAGAGAGAAACGTGCCAGGAGGAAGGCGCATCAAGCCAACCCCGACTGAGACCGCCTTCCACCTGGAAACCAATGCCCTCACTGCGGGAGAAGATGCAGAGCAAGAATAGGGCTCCACAGCCACCTATGAACCCACCCCCAGGACACCGAACTTGGAGGACCATCATCCTCGGACTACAAGGGATCACCTAAGTAAGTAAACTTAGGAATAGTGGGAGTTGGAGTCCAAAACACCTGGAGGGAGGGCCCAAGTTTGCCCATGCCTATTCTGCACAGTGTCAATATAAACTGAGGAACGAGCAAGAATAGGGCTCCACAGCCACCTACGGATCCACAAGTATACTGATCATGGAAGACTATCCTACTCGTCCAATAAGGGATCGCCTAAGTAAGTAAGTAAGTAATCTCAGAATATCAAGGCAGAAAATCCCACAATATCTGCTTTGAACTGGGTTATCTGAGTCCACACTGTGTTAATGTGAGATTTCCTCCCTTGATATTTGGGGATATAGGGCTGTGTGGAAGGGCCCTTATTGACATCCAGCTCTGACCCAGAGGAAAGGAAACAGCGCCCCACCTGCAGCGCCAACGACGACTGCCCGCTATTTTCCAACCACAAGCCAAGCCCCGCCCCCTTTTAAAAATCCACGGGATGCCCCGCCCCCTCACCGCGCGCCCCCTTTTCTTTCCCGTAAACCTCATTATAATCCTCTCCATCTCCTCCTTTCATTAGCCCCGCCCACTCCCCGATTGGCCCAACCGGCTGCTTTCCCCGCCCCTTCCCTCGCGCCCGCTCCCTTCCTTGACTTTCGCCTCGACTCTCGAGGCTGCCTCAGTCCGGTCCCGCGCGCTGTGGCGTCGGAGGAAGAGCAAAGCCAGAGGGAGCGGGGCGCGAGGGGAAAGAAGGAGGAAAGTGAGGAGGAGGGCTTCCTGGCCGAGATGGGAGAGGAGAAGAGCTGACGGAGGAGGGGCCGGAGAAGCCCTGAAGGCAGAGGAAGCGGGAAAGTTCTTTTTCTCCGCCGCCGCTGCCGCCTGGAAGGGAGCGAGGCGCTCTTGCTTCCGCCGCTCAGGCTGCCGCTGCGGGCGCTCTTGCCCCGCGGGCGGGCGGCCTGCAGGGGGCGCTGCCGTGAAGACGGGTGCAGGCGGGGGCCATGCCTGCCGTCAGCCTGTTGCCGCTCTTCGGCAGCCCCTCGGGGCCGGGCGCCTTGGGCGTCTCCTTAGGCGGTGGGGCCCCCGGCGGGGCGCGGAAAGCCCCGGGTCCTAGCGCCTTCCGCCTGACGGAGAAGTTCGTCCTGCTCCTCGTCTTCAGCGCCTTCATCACGCTCTGCTTCGGGGCCATCTTCTTCCTGCCGGACTCGCCTAAGCTCCTCAGCGGCGTCTTTTTCCACTCCGCCACCCAGCAGCAGCAGCAGCACCACCCTCCGCCTTTGCCCCCGTTGTCGCCCGCGGAAGGCAGCCTCAGCAGCAGCAGCAGCAGCAGCGGCAGCGATGCCCTGAGCGGCGCGGCCAACTTGGCCAAGATCCGCGAGGACCACGAGCGCGCGCTGCGGGAGGCCAAAGAGACCCTCCAGAAGCAGCCCGACGAGATCCGCAGCGACATCCACCGGGACAAGGAGAAGTTCCTCCTCCTCCAGGACCGGCTGGGCAGGAGGAGCGGGGCCGCGGCCAGGGACGGCCTGCCCGAGCTGCCCTTCCGCAAACCCGTGGGCGCCGTGGGAGGGGAGCCGCCCGACCCCGCCACCCGACAGAAGAGGGCCAAGATCAAGGAGGTGGGTGGCCTCGCCTCGCTCTCCTTCCTCCTTCCCTCCCTCCCTCTGAATCAACCTTGGCAAGAAAAACCCAGCACACTCAGGCATGGGCAAACTTGGGCCCTCCCTCCAGGGGTTTTGGACTCCAACTCCCACCATTCCTAACACCTTCAGGCCCTTCCCTACCCTACCTATGAAAAATCTCATTATACCCAGCCATGGGCAAACTTGGGCCCTCCCTCCAGGTGTTTTGGACACCAACTCCCACTATTCCTAACACCTTCAGGCCCTTCCCTACCCTACCTATGAAAAAACCCATCATACTCAGGCATGGGCAAACTTGGGCCCTCCCTCCAGGTGTTTTGGACTCCAACTCCCACCATTCCTAACAGCCGGTAGGCTGTTAGGAATGGTGGGAGTTGGAGTCCAAAACACCTGGAGGGAGGGCCCAAGTTTGCCCATGCCTGGCGTTGATCCACCCTGAAGAGTCTGCTTCTCTCCAAAACATCTTCACTGTTGTTGAAGGAACACAGTTTGACACTCCTTTGGCAGCCCTGTGGAATAATATGAGTTGTGGTATGCACTTTTTGGCAAAGGAAGCTAAAAGACCTACTCATACCACAACTCCCATTATCCCATAGTACTTTTTTCGTGTCAGGAGTCCAGGAGACGCCCAGATGTTTTGATGTTTTACCGTCCTTGTGGGAGGCTTTTCTCATGTCCCTGCATGAAGAGTTGGAGCTGACAGAGGGAGCTCATCCATGCTCTCCCCAGATTCAGACCTCCGACCTGTCAGTTTTCAGTCCTGCCGGCACAGGGCTGATCAGGGGCTCCATCCCATAGTACTGAGCCATGGCTGGTAAAGGCAATGTCAAACTGCATTAATTCTAGGGTATGGGTTGCTGTGAGTTTTCCGGGCTGTATAGCCATGTTCCAGAAGCATTCTCTCCTGACGTTTCACCCACATCTATGGCAGGTATCCTTAGAGGCTGTGAGGATTCTACAGCATGCTTGTGCCCATGGTCACCCCCTTGGATTTGGGTGCTTTCTCTCCTTTCTGTCTCCTTTGTTCCCCCTTGCTGTAATGGTTTGCAATACGTAGTTTGACAATTTTAGATGATCACCGGTGGCGTAATGGGTTAAACCCTTGTGCTGGCAGGACTGAAAACCGACAAGTTGCAGGTTCAAATCTGGGGAGAGCACGGATGAGCGCTCTCTGTCAGCTCTGGCTCCCCATGCAGAAACATGAGAGAAGCCTCCCACAAGGATGGTAAAGCATCAAAACATCTGGGCACCCCCTGGGCAAGGTTGTTGCAGATGACCAATTTTCTCACACCAGAAGCGACTTGCAGTTTCTCAAGTTGCTCCTGACACACACACACACACACACAAAATCAGGTTGCTGTAAGGAATTGATTGGGTTTTCATCTGTTTTAATTTTCTTAACCTTGTATGTTCTTATTGTGTTGTTGGCCGCTTTGAATCTCACTTTGGTGCAGGAGAAAAGTGGGGTAAGAATCAGCTCAAATAAAATAAATTGTAATTGCTGTATAGCTTTGAGCTGGGATCTTTCCCAACCCCAATACAAGCAGTCCCCAAGCATGTGGACAATTTCAACACAGGATGAAACCATGAAAATGAACAAAATCTAGCTACCAGTATTTTAAAAACTCTAAGATCAGGACAGTAAATAAAGAGCAGCACCCAAAAAGCAGGGGAATTCCCGACAAGAATCACTCAGGGCCAGATAACACCTCCCAACAAAGGAGTCCCCCAGACAGCAACCGGCCAGGCTTTGAAGCTGCAAGGCCATTCGGTGCTAATCAAGGTGATCAGTTACAACATTCACACTTGCCTCAAGCAGACAGGAGTTCATTCTTCCACCCAGGACATTCCACAGATATATAAACCCTACTTGCCTAGTTTCCAACAGACCTCACAACCTCCGAGGATGCCTGCCATAGATGTGGGCAAAATGTCAAAAGAGAATGCTTCTGGAACATGGCCATACGGGTCCGGAAAAATTGCAGTAACCCAGTGCCATGAAAGCCTTTGACAACACATTAGTCCCCAAGTTATGAACAAGATAGGTTCTGTAAATTAAATTTAATTTGTATGTAAGTCAGAACAGGTGTAAATAGATAGACAGATAGATAGATAGCCATTTAGCTTTGGCTAGTATAGGGAAGGGTGAACACCCCTGTAGTTTTTGTTTTGCTGTCTGTCTCCCTGTTCAGAAGATTTCCCCTCACTTTCTGTCTCTGTGATAATTGGATTTTTTAAAAAATTAGGCCTGTTGTAGAAACAAGGATTGGGGAGAAAGCTTCAGTAGATCCCCCTCTCCCATGGTAACATTTTCAGTTCTGAATTTCCTTTCTGAGGGATAGATTTCCTTCACTTTCTGTTGTCTCACCCCAGTTCTTAGTTGTAAATTGTTTCTAAGCCGGATTTTTTTTTTTAACTCAGGACTGCCTGTATATTTATTTCCTTTTGCCTCTTCCCTTTTTCGGGTGTGGTCCGCTGATAGCAGTGCCTATTGACGTGGGCAGGAACTTTCAGTGACAAAAGAGAAGAACACGTGTCTTTCCCTGCGCTCAAGGGCTTCCTAGAGTTCACTGCCTGGGCAGCCCTCCAAAAGTTGGGTTGACCCAGTCAGCCTTCTCCAGGGTTGAGGTGTGAGACAAATTACAGAGAGATGTGATGCTCCAAATGCTTTAGAGCCTGGGAGTGACAACTTGGGTGAAACTTGATGTCTCTTGCTCTAGAAGAAAAAAAAGGGGGGGGTGTTCTTTTTCTCTTCAGTCGTGTTGAACTTTGCCACTCTCAGAATATGCTGAGGAAAAGAGATCTCTGGATTTTCTGCCAGAAGTTATTTTTGTTCAAGTGCTACTTAGGATCTCAGCATTCAAAACCAAAAAGGTAGTGGACATGGAATTAAGATAAGTCGATTATGTAATTTTCTAAACTAAATACATTTATATTATATAACTCATTTAGTTTTATCAGACATAACTTGCATTAACTGCACTGAATGCATGTGGACATGGACGTACAGTGCTAATCACAATGCATTTTAAAATTGGGGGATCTTTTCAGCTATGATTATATTATATTGATACTATATTTTCAGTTATGATTATATTCATCCCCTGCTAGTGCTGGAAGACATTTTCCTACTATTTCGAGAAATGTAGCAGGGATTGTATACACTAAGCTGTAAACAGGTCCTTAAGTTGGAGAACACTAAATCATTTAGTAAACATTATATTATGGATAGCATACTACTGGCTCTTCACGTTTGCTAAACTTTTCAACTATCTAGCACAATTATTGCACGTGAAGCATTGTTCTATAGAAATATACAAAAACAGACTCTGACAATGCTGTATGTCCAAAGTCCAATCAAGGGAAATTAGCATTAATCCACACGAATTATTGCAGCGACTGCCATGCCAGGGTTAAATATTTAACTGATAAATCCTACACATAAGCCACTTCCAGTTTTTAACATGTGGAATGATCTCCAAATTAGCACAAATCTAGAAGACAAACTTCCAATTAGTACAGTTAGAAATGGATATAGCAAAACATCATAGCAGTCTGGTCAATTGAATGTGTGTCCATGTGTGCTATTGTTTCAGCCTTAAAACAAATCAAAACTGGTGTAGTAGGTTTGGATGAAATCCAGAGTAGATGTACAAAGTCTTGAATGATTTAAGAGGCTGGCTCTGATCGACATAACTACAAAGCTGTCTGTATGGAGGTTTTATACATGCAGCTTTGGTCTCTGGGATGCGGGATTTCTGAATCTGAAAGAACAAAACAGCTTTAATGAAAATGTGCTGGTACCTGCATGCAAAATGGTAATTGCTTCAGTCTAACCCTATACCTAGTTGTGTGCCTGCCTGTCTGCTTGAGGGTTTTTTAAAAAAACAACTTTTTTGATACTGAATAGCTTGAATTTACCAATCTCTGTGTTAAGTTACCCTTATTAGGCTGAATCGCTCAATAAATCATCTAATTAAATTTAAGATCAAAGCGTCTGCTGTTATCAGTAACCATTTGGCTGACATGTCAGGCTTGTAATTACAGGAGTCTGATTTCATGGGTCTGTGATGTTCTACCTGTGCTACCTTTTTGTTTGATAAGAGCAAAGTGCTTGTTCAAGCTTCTGTTTCAGACTATTAGGGAAATAAAATTAAAGCTATTTTCAAAGCTTTTGGAGTCAGTTGGAGGGGACACTGTCAGTGATACAGTATCATAACTGTTGTCATTATCTTGGATTTTCTTTGTTTTTGTTTTTTGGAAAATGCATATTATATTAAATTGTAGTGACAAAATATCCCTGGAGAACAGTAATTTCCTTATGCTCACCTACCTTCTGAGCAGTTCAGCATCTCACATTCTTGTGGGGTAGGGTGAGGCATGGTTGAAAAATCACCCATGCAGGAGGGGGAGGGATCCACCCTTCTGTACCCTTTGCCTTCCTTCTTTTTGACAAGGGACCACTTTGACCAGGGACCACTCCCCAACATTAGTACTGAAAGGGTTATGAAACAGTTTTTGGTCAACTTTAGATTTGGTTTGGGATGCTGATTCAGGAAGTTGCATTGGATAGGCCACATCAGATCTAGTTTCTGATACAGAACATGCGCCATGGTCAGAGACAGAGAAGGAATGGCAGGCAGCATGAAAGGAGCAGAAATATAATAAAATACAGAAGAAAGAGACTCGCAGACCCATTTTTCATTTTCACGGCCCATTGGTGGTCCGCAACCAACAGGTTAAGAACAACTGTACTAGGGAAACCAACACCAAATACTGAGAAATCCAACTGCAGACAGAGGCTGATAGTTGAGAATGCCACATTGGATTGTTCAGATGATTCTGTAATGGTGTATTGAAAAGGACCAACATAAATGTGAAACACAATTCACCTGATGTCATATAGTGGTGATCTTTTTGAACAATGTTCAATAACTTTAGGATTCTAATAGAACCTTGATCCTCCTCCCAATCTT